AGATTTCATAATAGCCAATTTCTTTCCATAAGAAGATTAAGTCCTTATTAATCAGGATCGAGCGAGCTATTATGTTGCACTGTCTAGTATTTTCGTAACCATCTTTGGACGGATATTCCTCAGGAGTATTTTGCGTCGCACTATGGAAATCAGGTTGCCTTATTGGTCTAGGAGGGAACGGAATAAATTTCATATGTAGTATTAAATCTTTAATGGTATTAAAGTTTTTTTTTAAAATATCTGGAGCATTACTTATTGGATGTGGCCCACCAGAAAGAAAGTGAAACAACTCCATATCATTGCCTTTTATACAAAGTTCACTTGTTTCAAACTGGTTTTTCGCAACTGATAGGATATATGTGAAGACCGATAATTGTAAATCACTACCCCAGGGTTTATGTGACTTTTTTTCTAATGATCTTATGTCAAATTGTCCGACATTATGTGATATTTTCTTTTCAATTAATTGTAAATCATAACTTCCGTAGTGAATAAGAAGTTTTTGAATAAAATATTTTGAAAGAATTCCTCGCTTAGTGATAATGGCTTGCACAACGGATACACTAATAAACGACGGACCAAATCTCACGGAATGAAATAATGCATGAGCTCTTCCATAGTTTTGGATGATCCATGCTGCTCTTGCATTTTCATTTTTAGCAACATTCGACCATGCTTTTGAACTTAAAGCCAAATTTTTAGGATTTTCAACATATTGAAAAATTGTAAATTGGATTTTTTGAGTAAATTTTTTGGCAGCCATATACTTCCATAATTTCAAATGTATCGTTATATACCCTTTATATATACGTGTATTATAACTTTGAAAAATTCTTTTTTTTAAAAAAATGAAACATTATAATCAATAAATCACTATATATAGATTTATTAAAATTTATGTTATCAGGGTTTTAAACTTTCGACAAAGAATTAAAAAATTTTTAAACGCAATTTTTTTTTTAAAAAAAAAAAAGGTTGGGATATCAAAATAAATTTATTGGATACTTTTGTTTCAAGATTACCATTATTTACAAACATAATAATTAATTTGAAACTATAAACGAAGCTGAATATTAAACTTTTAATTTGTAGCACTTAGTTTAGAAGGTTTGGATTCGAAACTTAGTCTCGGAGTTTAAAAATATGTTCAGAACGGGATTCTTACTCCATGACCAATTTCAAATCTGTTATGTAAAGAAAAAAACCAGATTTAGTAATTCATATAATAATAGGGGTACCTTAATTTTCCCACCACTTCACTATCGGAGTAGAAAAAATTTGAGTAAATAATTATAGCCAATTAGGAACCCAAAATAAATTTGTATTATCTTTGTATATACGCGTTTTTAATAATGAGAATTCTTTAAAAAGACTAAATATTGTGCAGGCTCATAATATTCGGAGATGTAATTATTTTTGTAAAAATTAAAATAATGTATCTTATATCAGTTCATATATAATTAGTATTTTAAAACTATTTTAAGGTTATTTTTCAAGTGCAATGGCCGCCCAATACGGGATATATTTATTTTCGATATTCGTTTTATCAATAAGAGTAAGTGTTGAATTTAATATAAATAATTTATAGCCATAATAGTTATTTGCCATGTTGCAAATGATTAATGACTATTTTCCATGATACTGTAGCTTATAACATTCCGAAGGTCAAATATAAACGCAGTATCCGTTGTTACCAGCACTTAATGAGTTTATTCGCTACGTCCTAATATAATTAACACTACCTCGCATAAAAAAAAAAAAAATGTGAATAAACTAAATAATATAATAATATGTTCCTCACATTATTATGCTACACAAAAGTGCAGCATATCTGCGGTAATACGGAACTTATATATCAAGTAAACCTGTGGTATTTACCAAATAGTGCGGACTAAAGTACTCAGTGAAAATAGCTATTTATACATGTATGTTATACGCATTTACGTGATTTATAATTTTTTTATTATGTAAAAAAATCATGTCAATTGGGTACTTTGTAAGTTATTACTGTAGTAGACTCATTATAACAATATAATATAGTTGGGGTGACTTAAATATTTACAAGTTTTTACAGTTACCATCAAATATTATGGGTTATAACTTTTGTAATCGCAAAAGTTGAAAAAATTTTAAAAAATTCCAATTGATAACATTATAAAAAATACGATGATAATTACCTAACCGACTCTGATGAGAAATTTTTTTTAGAGAAATTCTACACGCATTTTATCGAATTTAATTAGGTAGTTATCTTCATTAAAAATTTATCCACTATTTCTTTTATAGAAGTTCAGATTTTTAAATTCTCAGATTAAATTCTATAGTTTAAAGCTAAAACAAATTGTTTTATTATAGTTTTCAAAAAATTTTTAAATATTTTTCGACAAAAATTAATTAATTTTGAGGATCTTGTGTAACAAAAATAAAGAAAATTTTTAAGAAAAAATTAAAAAATCGTAAATATCTCAAACTTTTATTATGCAAACTAGCTTTGAGCTATTAAGTAAAAGTTTTCAGCACATAATTTTGCATATATATAACCTTTTAACCCTAACCATAACACGAATTCGAACCCTAACCCTAACCCCAAAAGTTTATTTTATTTATTTATTTTAATGATTTTATCATACAGGTGATTTCACCTGGGATGAAAATTAGTTAAAACCTTTTTTTATATGCAAATCTTTTTTTACAAAAATTTTAATAGTTAGGCTAGACCAACTTTGATTTTGTGTTCATATTAGCCCTTTCCGCAAAGTAATAATTTTTTTTCAAAGAATTATGTTCCGTAACTATATAAACTTTTGCCGAAATAACCATAGTCTATAGTATGTATATTTATTTATATATTACTATATATTAGTAATCATTTGTGATTGCCGATTACTATATAATTGTGACAATTATATATAGTAATCGCAGTCAAGTGATTTTTCTGATCTATAAAAAAAAAATCAGAGTCGCAATATAATCAACATTATCACGATCAAATCGATGTTGTGCGATGCAAATATTCGGTTGGATAAAACAGATCTCCAGTCATTTTTATTCACCTCTGCAATGTGTATCTCGTACGTTTTCTACGGTGACTAAGACTAAATTCTGTGTGTTGATAAAACAAATTCTGCTGACTACGCTCATATTTTCTGTTTATTAATTGTTCACCTTCCCGAAATTTTCCTATATAATTTTGTACTCCGTGCTAATTTCTATACTGTAGGATTCTTTCCTATTTGGTGATATTCTGCGGATTAATGTGATATCAATTTCGTGTAACATTACGTAGTGCTGAATACAGTATTATACATACTGTAGGTTAAAAATTTTGCAGATAACTTCTACAAGCCATTAGATGTTAGAAATAAACTATACTCAAAAAAATAAAAAATTTGGGTATCATAAATAAATGGCACATCACTCTATATATGTGACTGCGTATTTTATTTAAAAGTAGGCTAGATTGATTAGAAGTAAATAGTGTATAACATACATAGCGATAGATATTACTTATTTGTTATAGATTTCGCATTTTTTACATAGTATTATCGCAAAATCTAAAAAGAAAAAAATAAAAAATGAAATTTTTGCCATAAAAATGATTTAATGCAAAACTGCTATGCAAATTTTGCAAATTGATCATAGCTTTCTTGAACTCAAATAATTTATTTTGGATCATTATTTGAGAACAAAATGTAAATACAAAGCTAACCTTGTGTTAAACTTTTAAGATAACTAGAACTATCTGAATAGGAGCTTTTCTTCTAAACTAATAAGTTACTTCACAACTTCAGAGAAATGTCATAAATAGTATATTGATCTGAACATACTAACACAAAAAGAGAATGAAAAATTAGATATCTATACCTATAACTTTAAAAAGTTATTAAAACAAGTGGATCTGGAACATAACCTACTAGTAATTTATGTAGTAAGAATATTTATAAGAGGACTAAAGGAAAGAATTGTAGTTATAATATTTATTTCTAAACTGAACAACTTTGATAAAGCAATAGCTAAAGCTAGGAGAATAGAGATTATAAAGAAAGAAAAAATAAAAAAAACTAACTAGACAAGTATTAGAAGAACTTATCAAGATAATATACTAAATAATGATTAATATAATGACTAATTCTATAAACAGAGAATAGTTTCAACTTTAATACTAATACCAAACTATCATCTCTAACAATTTAACAATAATAAATATTATAGATGCAGAAAAAAAGAGGATACTTATTTCAAAACTGCTTTACAAAAAGACTTCTCAATTAGAATAGAACTTCAAAATAAAATAGAAATGTAAAAAGAGAAAACTAATTCTAAAACCCAAATTAAGACCAAAAGCAACATAAAACTCAAGATTATGAAAGAATCTAAAACAATCTTATTAAGTTTTAATCTAATCTAGTAGCATAAATCTATATAAAGCTTATGAAAAAGATAATAAAAAAGATATATATGCAGATAACTAGGTCTATTATTAGCTATATGCAACTAGTAGACCTAAAATAAAAACAAAACAAAGTAAAACAAATAACTAAAGCTCCAACTAACACAAAACTAAAACTAATTTGAAATACTAATAAATATAACTATAGATAAAGCAAATCTAACTAAACCTAAACTTTAAAATAAACCTAGATGAAAACAAAACCTATTTATAGTTAATTTAATTTTATTATACAATATTGCAGAAGACTTCTTAACTAGCTAGCCAAAGTAATTTATAGACAAAGACTTTAAATCTTAAAACAAAGAAGAAATATAGACTAAGTTCTGTATAGACTACTTATAATTCAAAAAGAAAAAACTAATTTTATTAGCTCTAAATATTATGATAAGATAACTGTAATTAAATATTATATAAAAATAAAAAAAATCTGTATTGGTAGTTCTAGATTTTAGAGCTACTATTAGTATCATGACAATGAATTTATTGAATAAGCTAGAATTAATAATTTGAAAACTATTAATTACTATAGTAGTAACTACAAATAGTAATAGAGAAAAATCTTTAGAACAACTAAATGAACAAAAATTAATCATTGGAGAAGTAACTATTCCAACTAACTATCAAATAATAGAATTGTTAAAAGAAACTCTACTTTTAAAAATAGATTATTTTAAAAAATACAAGTTCAAATCTACTTTAATAAAGAAAAGTTATTTATCTAATATCTAATAAACAGATAGATATACTAATTTACTAAATACAAAGTAATAAACCTGAAATCTTGTTTAAAACCAACTCTAATAATAATAAGAAAAACAAAGATAACTATTTCAATAAGTATGAGGAAGAAGAGTTAGAAAAGTTGAAAGGATTTATTACTAAAGGAATAATAAAGAAAGAAATAGAATTATATATTAATCTCTAAAAAGATATCTATAGCTCTGCTATTTATTTTACTATAATCGAAGAAATTTTTACTACTAAAAATAATACTAAACTAGAAGTAACAAAAAAGAAGAATATAGAAAGATTAGTACAAATAGAGATATTAAATAAAAAACAAAAGAAAGAAGCAACTTATATACTAGAAAGATTCAACAGATTATTTATAACTAAATTAAGTTAATTAAGCTAAAATACAGAATTTTAATATAAAATAAGCACTAGAGAAGTAAGGCTAATTAAGCAAAATACATACAGAATATCACTGAATAAACAAGAATTACTAAAAGAAGAAATTAGAAAAATATTAGAAAATAATTTGATTGAAGAAATAAAAAGTCTGTAGACTTTACCTGTAGTTATTATAT